AAATGAAAGAGGAGGATCTAATAAAGCTTTAAATCATGTGTCACTTATTAATCATGATTTTGATTAAGTTCTGTTAAACATCGATAATTCACGGTTTCGTTTTTTCTCTGGGACGCACGGTAAGGGTTAAGCCGCCGACACCATCGCTGGGATGCAACTATGATGGCTTCTGTTTCACAACAGCTTGCCACGCCTTCCTATCTTCTGTCAGCCTAGTGGCTTTAGTCAGGGAGTTAAGGCGTCTGACATGTTGCAGTTTGCCTTGATATACAGTGCGTCCATCCCTTAATTAGCTGGTCTTCCCCTTGGGTGTTTGTACATTTCCGTTCAGAAGGATGTGGGGTATCTTTTTTGATTAATTCTCTTGATATGTCCAAAGTATCTCATTTTTTTTGCTGCAACCCTGTCGACAGTAGCGTACGCAGGATTTTTTCAGGGGGGGGGGGTTAAAATCGGGCCAAAAAAATCTCAACGACTCAGCCGGCCGCTAAATAAGCAGGGGGGGGGGGGGGTAAGAGGACATTTTTTTTTGGTCTCGAAATTTGAAAATTTGACATTTTGTTCCGTTGTGGGGGTGGGGGGGGGGGGAGTAAGGTCACCTTTTTTAGGTCATCCATTGGCATAATTTAAAGGGGGGTTTCCCCCAAAACATACACAAAACATACACATAAAAAAAGTCAAGGGGGGAGGGTTTAACCCCGACCCCCCCCCCCCCCCCCCTGGGTACGCGCCTGTCTGTCGATGATGGTTTCTTCCATGTTCAGTTGTGTTGGTACGTGTGTGTTTCTCATCCTGTCAAGTCTGGTAACACCTATGATTCTCCTGGGACATATGCCATCTCAAAAGCCGGTGTGAAGTCTATTTGCATCGACATTTTTAATGCACCATATAAAAGAATCGACAACACCAGGACTTTGTACAGTAATTCTTGTTGAGCAGCGTATATTATATCTTTTGATGCCCAGATATTAGTGCCTTTCCAAATTCGATGCTGTACTTCTTCCGAGCAGACTTCCTGTCTACCATATTGTTCCTCCCAGGTAAATGAACTTTTCTGATTGTTTGAGCTGTTCTCCTCCAATGTTTATATTCAGTAGTTGAGAGTGTTTGCTTATGACTTGTACTCCTGTTTTGGTAATGTTTATTTTCAGTCCAAAGTTTGAGCTGTTCTGATTGGAGGTCTCTATCATTGTCAGCTATAAGGACAATGACGTCAGCAAATCTTAGGTTGTTGATCAGCTGTCCCTGTACTCTTACGCTAAATCATTACACATTATTAATCAAGTATCTGCCATTCTTCTAAGAGGAAACCAAAGGTAAAAACAAATGTTCTTCTTGTTCGTCATTACTGGTTAAACTTGTCAGTTCGTCAGGGTATGTATAATAACGTTCATTATTTTTGTTTACAGGTGCTGCTTTTGTGTACATGACTACTGCAATTTGCTTTGCTGTGATCTTTTAGACAAGATTCCAGCTACATTTCTGAAAGATGGTGCAAAGATTTAGTTAATCATGACGTCTCATTATAAAAGTTACAAATAATGGGTTTTAACAAGGAGTGGTTCAGATCTTACTTGTCTATGATCGACACAAGTAGTGGTCATTCATGATATTCGTACCAAACTAATGTATATAACATGCGGTGTTCCTCAGGTAAACATAATAGACCCAATTTGATTTACAAGTTATATCAATGATATGTGTATTTGTATAAAAGACTTTAAACTATTATTGTACGCAGTTGACAGCCTACTACTCTATTCAATCCGAATCCAAAATATCTTGAGGATAAGTTCAGTGAACAGCTGTCTTTGTGTCTATTCGATTGAATGACCGATAATAAGCTTTTTTTACATGCACTTGAGGAGAAACAGAAAGTATTTTGTTTTGTTCTAAAAGCAGTTCTAAAAAGTCATTTGAATTCAAAGTGACACTAAATAATCAAGTAATCAAGGGAAAGTAATATGTGAAGTAGTTAGGCATTGAGTTTGCTAGCGCAATTTTATTTTCATCCAATTAGTAGAATCATTTGTAAAAAAAGAGCAAATTCTCGTCTGAAATGTGTGCAGAGATATCAAAGTTGTACGGATTTAAAAGCAAGACGTATACTCTGTTTTGCTCCTTTTTAATGTTTGTTCGGTAGAAAGATAAAGGAGAATAATATATGGAAATATACAGACAAAATATATTTGAGATATTACATAGTAAAGAAAAAGGCAAAATAAGAATGGAAGGAACGAGAGAGGAATATAGAGTGGGACGGAGGAAAGAGTAAAGATACAGGGATCGAGGGGGGGGGTGTAGGCGTGAAGAAAATGGTCTAGGAACGTAGCTGTACTTTACTATTGTATTACGAGCTTTCGGTTTGTGAGGCCTTCTTCAGGTTCTAAAGTGCAAACACATACAAAAACAAATACATTGTATGAACAAATATACATGGCACACATGGCATACAAACTTAATATCACTCAATCATAGACCATTTTCTTCACGCCTACATATTATGGAACACCCGTTGTTCTGTCAGAGTTTAGAATTCTCGCACTTTTATATATATATAATACCCTGTATTACAAGGATGTAGAGAGAAGGGACGCGGATGGAGAGAAAGAAAGAAATATATGGGGAGGTTAGACAGGTTTATCTTTATAAAAAAATATTTTTTTAAATTATACCGGATAATTATGTTTACTTTCTATTTCACAACTTTAAACCATGTCAAATGTATTATATCTTTGAATGTTGAATTGTATTTCTGATTTCTTGTCATAATTACTGTTCTGTTGGAAATGAAAAATTAAACTGAAACTGAAACTGAAACAGAAACTGGCAGAGGGAGATGGAGGAAGAGAGGAAAGAACAATAGAGCGCATGGGCGTCAATCCTTACGTAATACCTATTGTTCAGGGGGATGAATGAATAGATCATCCCCCTGAACAATAGGTATCAATTACAGATTTATGCCCATGGTATAGAGAGAGAGAGAGAGGGGAAAAAGAGAAAGAGAGAGAGAGAGAGAGAAAGAGGTATCTAGTTGCGTAGTGATCAGAAACTTCGCTTTCTTCTTCTTTTCCTTCTTCTCTTTCATTATCACCATAATCAGTTATTTATCATTATTGCAATGACGACCTTCGTCATTGCCTTGTTTTCGTTCACTTTCTTCTTATTAATATTCTCTTACTTCTTCTTCTTCTTGTCTTCCGGAATCCCATTCGTTTTGCACGTAGTGCTTGTTATTCCTATCTAGGTCCTTTTCTCTTGCTCGATTCATTTCACACTTCATAGGCACAGTCTCTAACATCTCATCAAGGTCACTACATTCTTCGATTCTCGAAATCACTCATGCGTAAACGTCCAGGCGCCATTTTGTCCGTTTCTGGTCCATTTTAAGACCTTTCTATCCTCCTTCCTATCTCCACTATCCTAGATCCTACAAACTTCTAACAAATTCCTCTAGATAGTCTGAGAGATGTTTTTTTCATCTGCGACGATAACCTGCCCTTCAAATCGCCATCTTCATACTCAAAATTCAAATCTAAAACCGACTCCGTCAAAAATCTCTCAAATTCTTTAAAAATTGACCCCTAAATAATCTAAAACTGCCATAAGTTTCTTATATAAATTCCGTTTTGTATTTAAATATTAAAGTATCTATATCTTATAATTGCACGTAGCCATGCCAAATTTCACGCTCCAATGGTTTTGCACAACATAAATAGCGCCCTCTAAAGTTCTGGGAATTGGCTTTATTTCTGTGGCCGTATCTCCATAATGGCTTGGAAAACCTGTACCCTTTTTTGGATTTAGATACTTGAAGATATGTCCTTTCCAGCCATATACAAAATTATATACCCTATCACTGACCAAATTTGAGAAAATTGCCCTCCAAATTCGCCATTTTCAAGAAAATTCCAAAATAATTTAAACTTGCTTTAAAATGGCGATCTTTATACCTACATCAATGAAACTTGACAGAAACAAGTATCCATATACGTGACAACTGTTTGCTAAGTTTGGTAAAATTTAAATATGTCAGCGCAAAGTTATCGCCAAAAATGATGAATTTACTATGCATTACGTAATAGCGCGTTTGATGCATGCAGTACGTTGCGCGCAGATGACAATGGTGTCGAACTGACCGCAATGAAGTGCCCTTTCGAATGATACCAAGTATGGTATATGTTCACACAGAAAATTGTGAGTAAATTGCATTTGAACAACGGTCACTATACAAATTCCGGTCATAATACAGATCCTGTACGTTTTCCGCCCATGCATTACACGCATTGTCTATGGGGAAATCGGGTTCACGCTTTTGGACCCAGAACGATCTTTATTTTCTTGAAATTTTATAGGCACATTCTAAGTGGCCAAGTGCAGAGCATCTCGAGGCCAAATTTTTAAAATCGTTCAAGCATGACATTAAATGCTATTTCATACTCTGCGTATTTACTAGTCCGAAAGATGTTCTTTCGTTTGACACGTAAAACAATGCATCGTCATTGCACGCACATCGTTCTGACACGATTGCATTTCTAGTTATGTATTATTATCATTATTACTTAGTTTCAGATTACTATATATCACATTCACATTCAATTATCATGAACATTAAACAATAATGAAAACTTATTCTTTCAATAGGTACTAAAAATACATCCAATGATATCAAGCAATGAAAGTAATGAAAGAGTCAAAATAACAAACGGAGACATACATATACAATCGCATGGTATTTAAACTGAAATTATATAAAAATGTGTCCAGTGGAATTTGAGGGAATCCAGCGCACCGCCCCCCCCCCCCCCCTCCCACAGGATTCGTCGAATATTAATTAATAACGCGGCGTCCCATACTTGGGAAATGCATTGACGTAATCAACTAATAAAGTCATATGTAAACAAACGATATGTCATCATTATTTATAAAGTACTCTCAAAGTTTTAGACACAGACACAGTACAAACACAGCACATACTGTTGTTATCAGACAGACAAAGACTTGTTATCGCCTAGTGACGTGTCCATTGTGACATTTTATAATACAATATCATTACTCAAGTCCTGCCATTCTTCTAAAAGGAAACGACAGATAAAAACAAATTTCTTCTTCTTCTTCGTCCTTGCTGGTTAAACTTGTGCGTACGTCGTTAGGGTAGGTATAATCATGGATATATTACGGATGGACATTCGACTTGATTCTTTCTTTGATCCAACGAGATCCTCCGCCTTCCGATTATGTGCATCTTAGTGAGAACATTCAGCTGTTTTTACAATAACGACTGCGTCATTGACAAAGGAGCAGTTTCCCTCTCTTGAGTTTTGTTTGGAGGGTGCGCTCTGTAAGAGTGTGTCTTAAATAATAAACATTACCAATGGGGAGCAGCAAAGTGGAAAAGCAGACGATTTTGGTGATATAAAATTTATTATTACTGATTCGCACACTTTCGCACGCACCAATGACTTTAACAAATAATTAGAAGGCCATGATCTTAATGAGCCCTGTGCGTTGTAATTCTGGGCTATTATGAGAAAATTGGGGAAAACGGGATTTTAAATCACAAACAATCCAAATATAACCTATCTGGTAATATCAACATGTGTTTTAAAAATTTATCATAGTACACGGAACAACAATTTCCGATTATTAACCACAACTGCACATTGATTTCCCATAATTTAAGCGATTTATTTTCTTCTGCGCATGCATAATAACATGTCTAAAATCACTATCTTAATTCTGTCCCGGCTTATTGGTGGCGGACCTCATGAGAACAAAGTGAAGAAACATGTATGGAATGTTATTAAAACGACATTGACGGAGAAAATCAAATTGAATTCGTTAACAAAACGACAAATGTCCATTCGAATTAGGTCAATGGTATAATAATGTGCATTCTTTTTACAGGTGCTTTTTGTATTGTTTTGTGTGTGTACATAACTACTGCAGTGTCTCTCCATATTACTCTTTGGTAAATTTACGAAAGAAAAGGTGTGGGTGAGCACTAAAAAAAAAATTTTAAAAATAAAAAAGTTTTTTTTGGGTAGTGAGTTACTCAACATCCCCCCCCCCCCCCCTTGAGCAAAACAAAAAAGAAAAAGGTACATTTTTGTGGGAACCACATTTCTTTCAAACTTTTTTGGTGCCAGGGGTGGGGCCATTTTTGCCAGGGGGTGGTCCCGTCGGGCACCCCCCCCTGCCTTTGACCTACTTACTTCAAAGCCGAAATTAGGCTGTGTTTTGATACTATGTACCTTCATATCAAATTTCATTAACATCATCTAATATTGAACGGAAACCAGATTTGTGACGGACGGACGGCAGCGTTTATATCCTGTCCGACTTCGTCGGCGAGGGGATAATTAAAGGAATCAGAGGAGAGATGCGAATGACATTGATATAGCCTGAATACAGAATACTTTTCTCTTCTCTGCCAGATTTATACTTTTTAATTTTGTATATACTTATGTTTTCGTACGTTTTAGAAATTTAAAATATTCATCATTATTTTCCTCTTCTTCCTCCTTCTTCTCCTCCTCTTTCTTCTTTTTTTTTTTTTTTTTTTTATCTTCCTACGCTTCTTGTACTTATCATTTATATCATTATTTTAATGTCGTCATTATTACTATCATCATTATTATCTTTAATAAGTTTTTTCTTAAATTTCTGTAGATAATACGACTTTAACTTAATAATTTTGTCGGGGACCCTACTGGAAATAAGCTCTGACTCGAGCTTTCGTGTGTTATCCTGCTCAAGCTGTCTTAATTCTATCTGTTATTCTTTTATATTGCTGTATGTTGGAAACTTGGTGAATAAAATCAATCAATCAATCAATCATCATCTAGTACGGAATTTAGGCGTTGGCCTTTGATTCCCGGTCACTGTATACGTCTGGCATTGCATTGTCACATGAGAAAGATAGTACATGTCTTTAGTGTGCTTACGGGAGGAGTCGGGGAAGGTCACTTTGCTTGTTCCACCTTTTTTTTAAGCCTTTTGAAAGATTCAGTTGTTTTTCGTTTGCTCTATATTTTCAGGCAGGTTGCTTTTGGCTTTTCACACTTATCCAATGTTCGAACCTACAAGGATATATAAGGATGGCTTTGAGACAAGTCCAGACTGTCCAGTACATATAATTACCAACCGTATAGTAATTAAAGTCATTCTGCCATTTAAATCAATTTATGATTGGCAGGAACGGCAGGAACCATTTACATGCAAATCCATGGAAACTTTTTTTTTCTATTTGTTTTTAGCTTGATTAAAATCCATCATGATTGACCTGCTTGGAGCTGGAGAGTCTGGCTTTGGTCAGATTAATGCCCTGACCATCACAGCAACCCTTGGAATGGTCACTGCTACGCTGGCCCTCTGGACCATCGTGAGGCCAAAGCGATTTCCTCCTGGTCCAAGAGGCCTGCCTATCGTTGGCAGCATCTACAGTAAGTCAAATGTAGATCCTAATTTACCAGGCACCAACTTATAGTGATATGCAACACAATGGAAGAAAAATACTCAGAGTGGATCGAGTGCCATTCAGCTCCACAAACTTCAACTCCCAAAGAGCTCTTTTGAAAGAAGAAAAAGGAAAACAGTGAAATACAAAGTCGTGCAAATGTCTGTGAAGAATCTTATTAGAAGTTATGATAATATAGGGTGGCCTATACGGCTAAGGCACGGCGGGTCTATACTTGCAGAGAACAACAAACACATCTTCACTCCATACATGCTTGCAACCTTACTTGCATTTATCTACATGGATTTACATGTACATCGTATAACAACTGTAACTAATAAACATTCAAATAACAGAGATGGTAAATAGAAGGAGGTACATAAATATCCATAGATTTCCGTGCATATCAATGAGTTGCTATGAATATTCAATAAAGCTTAACCAATCGTATAGTGTAAAGAACAAAAACCAAAGGATGAACATGAAAGGATAAACATGAAAGGAGTAATAAAAGAGACTAAAGTTGGAGAGAGTGAACATAGCACGAGAGCCTGTAGAGGGAATGGTGACGGTGATTAAATGTGATGGAAAGAGCAAAATGGAGTTTGATGACAGCAGAATGCAAATAGACATATGGGAAGATAAAATACTTTCATACATGCTACGGTACAATGTCCTGTTCAAAATCTAGCTCTACAATACCAAATCCAAAAAATAGCTCCTTTTCACAAGAAAGTATTCAAAAACATTTTACGATAGTTTGGTACTAGATTTTCTCATTGACATGGAACTCTAGATCTACATGCATGTATCTAGACTAAGCTTTGTGATTTCGAATTATTTTGGATGTTATTGTAATTGCTTGATGTTTTATCATACGGCTTCTCCTCTTGAAATCTCATCTTGATACATCTTACTTTTAGTTAAATATTTCATGTTTATTATACTTCTTTGGTTTTTAGGTATAAATGATTCTCCTGAGGTTGTCTTTGGGGAATGGGCCAAGAAGTACGGTGATATCTTTGGCTTCAAGGCGGGAGAGAGATGGATTGTAGTTCTCAACCGTCAAGCATTGATCAAGGAAGCCGTCCTCAAACAGAGCGTTGGCTTTGCTGACCGTCCAGATTTCCTCTCTCGTGAGTGGATAGGATTTAGTAATTAAATATCAACATGATATTTTATGCCATGACAAGGATAATAGTTACTGGATATCAACATAATATTTTTAATTATGATTGGGGTAATAATGTCGGAGCACCAGACGGTTACAGAATTGGTATGATATTAAGTAATATTTTATGCTATGACTAGGATAATTATAGTAATTAACATAATACGTTGATGCTATGACCGAGGTAGTAATGTTGGAGTGCCAGGACACATGGGTACTTATAATGTAAGGCTTTTTATAATTGTGCCATCCAACTCCACTACCTTTCAGCTTTTCTTGCCTTCTTTCCTTCGCTTCTTCAGCTATACTTATAACAATGTTGCTTTCCTTTTGTTGCATAATCATGTAATTTTTTGATATGTTTAGATACTGAAATTATATTTTCAACATCAGATAGAAGATGAAAGACCATAGAGGTTATATGAAGCAAAGATATGCAGATTCAGAGAAAGACAAAGCAATACATGGGAGAGATAGAAAGTTAGAGAGAAGGAATTGACTTTTGAGGTGTTGGTGCATGCAGCAGTCACCATAGTTATACCTTTTTGTTAAATCCTTGTATTTTATTGTATTCTCTGGGCCACCAAGATATTAATGCTAGTCAAATTTGGTTGACCAAAAGGGCATACACAATGTCGGCCAGTGTCGATTGTCACAGAAGGGGTCAAAATGAATGTATGGAAAATGAATGTATGTAAACGTAAATTTATGTGCACTGCTGATATTGTGTTTTCGTGTATTTCAATTTTCAGTGGACATTTTCTCGGATGGATTCAAGGATATTGCTTTCAGCCCATACAGTGAGACCTGGAAACTTCATCGCAAGTTGGCTCACTCAGCTCTCAGGTAAAACTTAGATAATACACTCAGAGTTAAGCGACCACCTGTGTAGAAAGAATACATGTCTATAATTAATAATAGTAATAACTATAATAATATGTCTTATGTACCCAAGGTAACTTCATCAGTATTTAAGTAACTGTGCGAATAAATTTCACAAAATGGGCAAATTAAACATGTAAGGAAAGCCTATATCATTGAGAACACGAATCATTTGCTTTAAGGTTGGGTAAATATTAATTTAACACTTCAATAAGCATTTTCCAAGACCCTTCTCAGATTTTCAAATCCTGGCTTGAAAGCGAAATAATATACGGGTCCTGAATCATGACGTCACACGTGGGACAGGGAGCTGGGGCGCTAGCTCGGTGCACTAGCAAGAAGTAGACATACACAGAGTTTAGACGTACACGTTGCATAGTGAAAGTGGACTAAAAATTTCTCGAATTTGGGTAATTAAACTTTAAAATTGCTTATTATGCCACATGTATATTAAATGTTAGCATTTCGATTATTCCAAATATCTTATTATTTATTTTTTGTTGTTGAGATGTCATCGCATGAATGGGGGAATTTCCAGTCAAGTGCTCAAACAACACGATGAGACACCTAGTTCTTTTCATTCTTCCTCGCTCCCAGGCATTTTGCAACAGGCAAGCCTCTTCAGGATCTCATCTCCAGCGTCTACCCCAAGGTTGAGAAGAAGTTGGCCATGACGGAGGGACAACCAATAGACCCTAAGGTCCTCATCACTCTACTCATGTACAACGTACTCGCACAGATGTGCTTTGGACGAAGGTGAGTTCTGCACAACGGTTTTGGAACTTGTGGTAAAGCAAGGGTTTTATTTAGAAGTTTTTAGTCAAAAGGCAAGCAATCCAATCTTAACATCAGCTTGTTATGAGCTGAGTTGGAAAGAAACTTTATATAGGCAATAAGAAAATAGATTTATTTTAATTAAATTTAATAATATTAATGCGACTGTGATGCAGGACAACTCTCTATTCTTTGTTATGCCTCCGCAACGAAGTAGCCGTAGCCATGTTTTCGGGTTGTCCGTCCGTCCCTTTCTCATGATCGCGTTATATCTCAAGAACCGATTGACAGGTCGATCCCCGCCAACTTTAAACTTGGGTCATGTACATTGTACGTATCTTGTAGAGCCAATGAACTGATTAGATTTTGGGGTCAAGAGGTCAAATGGATAATGTCATGGGGCTCATAATGTATGCAAAAATAGTTTGTAATCAAAATATTCTGAGAACCTGTTAATGAATTAGAATCAAACTGGAATTTTAAAATTTGCTTCTGTTTGGGTTTGTAACATCGCTCTATGACGGAGACATAATTTTCGACTGCGCGCAGTCGAAGATCCATCTAGCTTTATTTTGTTGTGTTTTTGTTGTAATGCCCATTAGAATACAATACATTTGTATCATTAAAAACACTAACCTTTTTAAAGAAAATCGAACTAGATCACAGCCATGATATATAATATTAGAATGTTCTCTATTCATTCCCGTTTCACAGGTACATGAGTTATTTAATACGTGTTTTAGCCACAGTTGCCCTACATTCAATACCCTACCCTACATATGAAGATTCTAGGCTTCTGATTGGTCAAAACTGCAGGCATGAAATACGCTACTGACTGCTAGCAGTATAGCGAAAAATATTGACCGGGCATCACTCTCCTTACGCGTACAATGAAAGGACGCAATGGATTAGCTTTTTAACTCCAATAATGAACAAACACGTTTAAACTTTCATTAATTTAAGTATGTGCACAATGTTATGAGTTCAATATTAACTTTATGTTTCTCTTTTTTGTCTTATATAAAATTATTAAATTGATATAAAGACAATTTTTAGTAATTCATTAATTCAAATATCAATTTTCTCGTGCCAGTAACTTTCTTTTTCAATTGCTTCCATTCATTTTGTCATTATGGTTGTAATTATTATTAACGTTTTTTAAAATAAATTATTACTATTGTTATTTGATATTGCTATTATTATTATTATTATCATCAAAATTTTTCTCACTATTGTCGATAGTGTTATTTTTTTTATTGATTGGAAACGCCCCCTCTCAAAAATGAAATGGAAGCTCTTATTATTACCAATCATGTGAAAAAATATGTTTTGACTAATTCGTGATGATACAAATTTTGCCGGAGAACCGCCTATTAATTGATATATTTGGTAAATTATTATATCTATCCGGACCGGATCATCGCGCACGTGTCGCGTACATATAGCTCCGTTTAGTCTCATTTGACAACGCCCCCTATCGTCAGAGTCAGCAGCCCAACATGTTAGCCTATGGAATTATACAACTTCATTTTGTTTTGTTTAAAAGAAAAGCACATCCACCCGACGTACGTTATCACAAACTCTTTCATTGGAACCCTCATGTCCCATAGACTTTTGAAAGTTCATCCCCCATAATTTGATCAAAATAGGTTGCAAGCTCGCCATTGCCTATATAACACATGTGAAACAAGTCGAACTTTGGACTCAGTTTGCCAAGCGATTGTAAGGTTATAGGTCAGGCACACGAAGGATAACAAGCATGAATTATCATAGATCAGTTCTGATCGTTTCATTATGTCCATTTCAGCCAACCCCCCACCGTAATTTTTCTATTGAAGATAAGCAAACATTTTGCCGAGGTAAGCAAAAACATGAATATTCATGATCGCCATGGACTATTCGATTATTTACAGAGGGGCGCAATTGTGCACCACATCAAACTCCCCTTCTTTAAGTCAAGTATTTCATTGCATTATGTAGTTTGGTAGGTTTATTTTAATAACTGTTTAATTATCAGATATTGATGATAGTTTAAAGATATAGAAAATGTTCTTGTATTTTATATTTAGAAAAGCAATCTCACATACAAATTCACTATACCAAGTGTCGTCTAATCCGCCGATTGTCGTCTGCTATGTACGTCCAGCGAGCGAAAATGGGACAACCGGAGCAATATGATCCCATATCCATCTTTCTGTGTATAGTGCTTGTATCTTTACCAAGACTGGGCCAAATTTCTTATCAGTTTGATGATTCCAGAACCTTGCAGTGCACACCAATACTTATATGCTAGATGATCAACCTTTTCTGAACGTTTCCACAAAGTTTCTTTCACAATGCAATCGCATGACCAAAACTGGTCTTTATCTAAGACCAGTTCTGGTCATGCGATTGCATTGTGAAAGAAACGATCAAAATGATAAGAAATTTGGCCCAGTCGTAGGAATCATGTGCGTATTATCTATTTGGTCCCAAAAGATAAACTAATTTACCACATATATCTATTAGTAGGCGGTTTCCCGGCAAAAATGTTATCATCATGTATTAGTCAAAACATATTCTTTCACATGATTGATAATAAGAGCTTTCGTTTCATTTTTTGAGAGGGGGGGGGGGGCGTTCCAAAACTGGTCTTTACCTTTAACATTAATTCGATTTGTATTGACAGTGTTAAATTGACAAATTCAAACTGATTGTAAACTTCTCCTATACCCCGCAATGTGGGTGACATAAGAATAAATTGTTATTGTCATTGTCATTGCCCAGCGGCTTTAATCTACTTTAAGATTCAGTTGCAAGGCGAACCTTAATCCTGTGCATGTATCTTTCAAGAAATAACGCCTGGTGAAAATGCGTCCACTGCAAGTGTCCGGCAAAACCCTACAAGAAGGTACAATTACTTTTTTGTTTTTAACTGATTTTTCTTGATGTCATTATTGGATTGCAGTTATGAGTTGGAAGACCCTAATGTGGCGCAATGGATGAACACAAACGACGAAATCAATGAACATTTGGGATTAGGTCTAGCAGCAGACTTCTTCTCTTGGGCCAAGTACCTTCCCACCAACGGTCCATGGATGTTGAAGGAACTCCAAGAAAGGCTTTGGGGCTTCTTGCGTTTGCAGGTGGATGAAACGAGAGAACATTATGATCCGGGTGAGCTACTGAAATTTCGGTATTTGATTGGCTGAGAAGTCTTATGAAACAGTCTTAGTCCACCTTCATGAACATGACTGAGTCATTACAGCTAAATGTGTTGCATTTTCTATTCCTCTTCATAGAGAACATCAATAATGTCTACAGTCTACTTCTCAAAGCTCAAGAAGATGCAAGGAAAGAAGGAGAGAACGTGGACAAACTGACCGATACTCACATCTTCCAGACGATCGCTGATATTTTTACAGGTACATGTATGATTAATGTATTAGCTTGTTACCTGCAGAAACATGGTGCCCCTGTATTAATTCTAAAAAGGCAGGAGGGGGACAGACTCCTCCCCCTCCCCCAACCCCCCCCCCCCCCCCTGGGCATGCACGTAATACACTTGAGGATAGATTAGAAATATGAAATGAGTGCTATTTCACTGTATGCAACAAACACTAGCGTTGGGTGCGAATACATCACAATCATGCACTAACCAGATTATCAATTTGAGATTCGCATAGATGTAGTGATACCATATTTTAAACATTTTATTTTGTTTGTTTTTCTGCTTGCACATAAACGAACTTATTACAAAGGTTGGATTACCCTTTACTCTCTCATGTTCAGGATCCCGGATGTAAAATTCTTTGTGTAAAAGCTTTTCAATGTAATTCAATTCAGTACACATGTACCATTTAATTTGACGTTCCTATATTAGACATGTCTTTATGGATTAAAAAATGATTATTGATCATTATTAAATCTCAGTCAATTTACCCTTCAAAAAAAGAAAATTCTGAGAGGACAAGATGTTTTATTTGCAATGATTTTTTTTTTATTGATGACAATTAAATCTCAAAATTTGAAGACTGAAAGATGAGTTTCCAAAGGTCAAAGCTTATTTCAAAACTTTATTTGTTGTATTTTATAGCTGGTATTTTGACAACCGTTGAGACCCTATACTGGGCCATGGCTCTCCTAGTGACCTACCCAGAAATCCAGGCAAAGATCCGCGTCGAGATCGATGATGTCATCGGCCGTGATCGTCTTCCTACCATCAATGACCGCGGGAAGCTTCCCTACACGGAAGCAAGCCTCTATGAAGTGTTGCGGTACAGCAGTATTGTTCCGAACGCTCTTCCTCATGCTACTACCAGGGATACAGAGTTTGGTAATATTAATGAGAAAATTGTTTTTTTTTCAATTAAAAGCCGTCTTAATTGGTGGATGGAGGGTTTTATGGGGCACACCTTTTGAAATCAAAGCTACTGCTATGTCAGACATGTTCTAGCATTTCCTGGAGAGGAAGATCGTTAGGCAGTATTGTGTAAAAAGCTATGATGCGCTACATGTACATGTATAAAGTACTTGCAATTGCTAGTAAGTATAGTTAAATGATCATCGTACGTGTATTCTTGATCTTCCTTGAGCTGTCTGTGATGTCACATGGCGGATAAGATAATTTTTTAAGGATTTTTCACGGGGAAAGGCTCAGCAGGTTGCAGACAAATTGAGAAAATTTTTCCTCCACTATATACTATGGTACATACATGTATCTAGATCAAACAGTTGATGTTTTGTTGATGTATAGAACCAAACTCATCCACAAAGGTATTGAGATACATTTGTTTCAAATACCAATATTAGATGTGTGATGTATAAGTTATATGGATATGACTGCATCATCTTTTGCCAATTGATAAGTGTACTTCTTTCAACTGCACTCAGTGTTGCCTGTCATCCTTTCCACATGTCTATAAAAGGTCATGTTTTGTATTTTTTTAACATTATTACATTGTAAATGGAACCTGTATTACAGACCGCTAGTGTATGAAAACTACAAATCATGAAATTGTTTTTTACATTGATTGTTTCTGGCTCCTGTTGACTTTGCAGGTGGCTATCATATCCCAAAAGGAACCACAGTGATAATCAACACATACTCTATGCACTATGACCCTCAAGAATGGGACCAACCAGACAAGTTCCTTCCAGGTAAAAAAATGAATTCTACGATGTCTCCCCCAGGATATTTAATACTCAAGAGCTTGGTTTGGGAGGTGAGGGGTAGGAAATATACAGTTTTTTTCTGGTGGTTATTTCATCCTCTAAAGACCCACAGAGATGATCCAAAACTACTCCATGCACAGCCTCACTCAACATGACTAAGAACTGGACGAAGTGCTCCTAGGCAGGGCTCCACACTAACTTTTAGGGTGAGGGGGTGTGTGAGCCCTGTGTAAAAATTGAACAATGTATGCGCCCATTTTTCCTGGGCGCCTGTTAGTGTTGAGCCTCATTCTTTTTTAATGTCTGAGAACATCTGATTAATAATCAATTCACTGTAGATTTTCAAAGACTATTGCTATAGTATATGACAACACGGGACAGGACAATATTTTGTTTGTAGAGTATTCACCTCTCGAGCATCTTTATGTAGTGCAATAAAACAAATCATTTCTTTTTCCTGCAGAGCACTTCATGGATGGCAGTGGCACTGTCCGTGATCATCCTCCAAGCTTCCTGCCCTTTGGAGCGGGCCGTCGTGGATGTCTAGGTGAAGCTGTGGCCAAGGCTGATCTCTTCCTTATCTTTACCTGGTTCATGCAGAACTACACAACTAGCAAGGTCCCAGGAAAGGAGTCTGAAGACATCTTGAAGATGATTCCTCAGACAGCATCTGGTAGACTCCTTCTCTCCTATGAGATCATGATCAACAAACGAGACTAGTAGGGTCCTGCATCGGCCAGTATTCAATTCAATACTACATCAGAAAGATTAATATTTTACTCAGCTATCGGCTTAGGTAAAATACTAGTCAACTTTGGTATTCAGTTGAAGCTTTGGGCTAATTATGTTACCCCTAGTTTAAAACAACTCACTCGCAGGCTAAAGCCAATTATTTGGAGGCTTTGATTGGCAGGCCATAATGGATGAGCAAATTATGTCACCAATACATATATACAATACATAAGTATTTTGGATATAATTTAAAATACCGGTCTGGGCCTTTATCCGCATGCCTGTTTAAGCTGCCCCAGATGGTATTGTGAGTCCTCTTTTATCAAATATTCAGTTAGATTGATTCAGGAAAGTGAATTCTTAATTATTTTTAAAAGTTAAAACACATCTTTGGTCAATGTAATGGATGTGGTTAAAAGGACTTTCTGTCCATTGCATTTAGATGGTCTTGACACCAAATCAATGACTAATTGATCATTTACGACCAGTAACAGTTATTAATGTTCCTTTATATAGTAATCATTGATTGAAAAATCCCAACTGTCTATATTTCAAATTACTGGTAATCAGTAAAAAAAAAAAAAAAAAAAAAAAAATCTTTTTCAGTGGATTGGTAGCTCTGGGATTGTTTTACTAGTAAATATTGAATGCAAAGGTGCAGTGATACAAGACTCTACAAGAAATGTAAGAATATAAGAAATGCCACACATGTGATTCCTTTAAAAAATTGATGGATTATAAAGTCGATTGTGGCAGGGTTGTGTATCTTCCTACTTCTTGTGTCTAAAGTGTTGAAAGTTATGAAGAAATAATTTGTTGTTTGTTTACCCCTTGACTTTTACCAACATTCTGAATCACCTGTTTATCTAAATATTTGGTGTTGTTACGTGAATATAATTGAAGATTTCCTATGCATGCTATACAGGTGTAGCCCTATCATACAAGGTAGAGAGGAGATGTATTTTCCGTTGCTTGTCTTCAAGTCATTTAAAGTGGAACCATGTACAAATAAATGGGTAGGGAAGGCCAATTATTTACTTTACCTTTACCGCGAATACTGGAAGAATGCTGAGACAGTAGTCAAGCTTCCAGGTCTATCTTCTTGGTCTATCTTCTTGACAGTACTTATTTCAATATGTACTATATATACATTTGTGAGTCTGTAACTTGTGCATTAGATTAGAACTGTGGTCTGAATTGTGCTGATGTTGCTTCATTCGCATTAATTTCCCCCTTTTAGCGTTATTTTTTTCTAATTGTCAAAAAAAAGATTTCGAGTTTCTACAGAATTCAGAATGATGTACATATAATTGCATAATTTTTTGTAATTGCTGCGATGTACAATATTAAATCATGTTTTGTATTGTGTAAAGATCAAAATTATATTTTACAGTAAATAATAATGATATATTTTGTAATATCAATTTCTAAAGAAATAATCAGACGGTGTTCATGGAATGTAGTAAAAATAAAAACAATAATTAACATTGAAACCCATTGCATATTCTCAGAAGTGATGTTTTGTGTCTATGGCCATGAAGCTATCAAACGACATTATAAAAAGGAGAATTAGCCATTCGTAGACAGTTGGTATCTAGAAACAGATGTGAACAAATCAGAGAGAAAAACAAATATAATTTTGAGAAGCTACAGAAATATGAGGAATGAAAAATCTAAGATCACTATCAATAAATTGAGAAATCTCCCATTGACGATTCAGTCATATTACCCTTAATCCCTTCCCCCTTTCTGTCTGTCCAAGGAGATCTGTCTTATTCTCTCTTTGCTTGAAACTTCCTAAAACCCTGACCGTCATTGCTTTAATAAAAAAAAAAAGCATGATGTATCGCGCACGCTGCGGTCTGACTGCCAACTGATCCCCCAACTGATCTGTATTTTACGTACAGATCAGTGGGATAAACCCTTAGTCAGAACGTTGTCGTAAGGCCATTTCAAACAAAAATTATGTTTTGCGTCCCCGCCCGCTTCTTTTTTGAGGGCCGCCCTGCATTTTTTGTTTAGTTTGAAACATGAAAAACATACTGCTAAAATGATCTTTTCCTCAACAAAAAAAATAGCCCGACTATCAAAGGAAATGTACCAAGGGCCATTTAAAAAAGAAAGAAAAAAAGGGCCTCCTCCTTCCTATTTTTCAAAAAGGCAGGACGCTAAACATGTTTTTTTAATTTCATTTGGCCTAATACCTCGTTTTGGCGTTCTCACTTTCCTAAAAATTATGGACAAGGCCATTGCGATCTCCTTACTTTGATTTTTCGAAAGTAACATGAACAGCATAACACTTTTTTCCCTGTTAATTTTCCGTTTCCAGCGTTTCGTATAGTTTGCTCTCAATATTTATAACTTTTGTCAGATGTCAAAATTATCCACCATAATCTTGGTTTGGTTTGGTTTGGTTTATTTTCCGTATAAAAATTCAATACATACAAGAATACAATTTACAAATAATACAAATCAAGAATTAAAAAACGGCTGGAAAGCTCTATTCAGAGCCATTATTAAAATGGCTCTGTTCTTCCTAGAGGTCCAGAAATAATCAAACATAGAAATAAAACACAAAATATTACAAAAATATAATATTACAAACGCACTATCTACAACCCCCTCCCAAACCCTCTATAACACATTATGATAAATTAAAGATGGGAATATTCAGAAAGGATTATTTACAAGAAGTTTAACGAGGTCTTTAATTGTTTCCTCCATGAAAATGATATTACTACTGACAACCAATACCATTACTACTTCTATATACATATAAAAATGATAATATAAATAGTACATTTATATTTCGATGTTTTATTGATACTTTTCAGTTCACAAAACATATTACATGGAAGGAAACCATAAATCTTTTACATAATTGATGCATATATAATTTAATATGAATCAATAACTTTGACACATCTGTTAATGAAATATGGTAAAGAGTTCATCATAAATAATTACAATGAAATCTAAAACTAATCAAAATTGTTTAAGTGGTAGTATAATATTTCATTTTCTATGATGAAATGAGAACTTGCCTAAAATATATTAACACTTAAAAAAGCTTAGGCCTACTGTTTGAGCATATTGCTCCGGTTGTCTCATTTTCGCCAGCCCAAACGTAGGCTAGGTCGCGTATATAGCAGACGGCAATCGGCGGATCAGACGACACTTGATAGTGATTTTGTATGTGAGATTGCTTTGCTAAATATAAAATACAAGAATCTTTTCCATATCTTTAAACTATCATTGATATCTGATAATTAAACAGTTATTGAAATAAACCTACCAAACTACATAATACAATGAAATACTTGACGTAAAGTAGGGGAGTTTTTTATCATGAGTCCTTGAAAAATTAAATAATACTGCTTGTCATAGTATTATTGAAGAGCAGCAAAGGCGAACGACTGTCAGAAATCGTTGCTTGGATTGCTTTCCCCTTAAAATTACCATGAGATATCAAGCTACATAGAACTATGATCGACAAAAGAGATATTGTCTTGAAAACAGTCAGAAACCTTAGATCTTGAATGAATAAAACATAATGCAAATGAATAAGACTAGAATGGATAGGACACAAGTTAATTTTACCATTTAAACCATCCAGTACCAAATACTTAAGCAAATTCGAGCCAGATGCATATAATGGTGAGCTTATAAAGACAATGATTCATGACAAATTGTCAATTGTCATGAGTTTATCCTCTAGACGTATTGCAAAAGATAATCAGGATAATAAGGATCAGAATGATACCTCTACTACTAGGCCTACTTTGACAAGTATTATAATACACTACTGCCATTGTTGGTTATCATGAAATTGCTTAACACAATAAAAATCCCATATGTTTTATACACGCGCGGCTACGAGCCTTCACTTCGTGAAAACAAAAATAAAAGCGTTCTGTGTAATTTGTGTGTTCACGAAATGACGGTTGTGTTAAAAGTTCAAACAAAGGAATACAAAAAGCAACCACAGAAAATGTATTGTATCTCGCAGTTCGAGTTATTTTATCTGCACATCAATTAAACATAACGTTTTGTCGTATTTAGTGTCCATTTCGGAAATTCCATCCACGACAGAAAAATCCCGTATGTTTTACGCGCGGGCTACGAGCCGTCACTTCGTGAAAACAAAATCACAGCGCGTCTTTGAATTTCGTGTTTTCACGAAGTGACGGTTATGTTTACAGCTCATTTCCCCCAAAATATAAGAAATTATGGAAATATTTAAACATAGAACTAAACATTGAGATATGTTTCTATCCCAGGATATAACATTTATTTGCCCTCGGTACATTAAAGAGGTTGAGATTATGGTTTGAATGTTTGAAAGCGTTCTATTAAAAACTAACTTTCTTTTAATTGCGCGCTCATCCGTCACTTCGTGAATAGGGGCAATATGAGTTGCACCAAATGAAAGAGGAGGATCTAATAGAAACTAACTTTCTTTTAATTCCGCGCTCATCCGTCACTTCGTGAAAATAGGGACAATATGAGTTGCACCAAATGAAAGAGGAGGATCTAATAAAGCTTTACAAATATGTGTCATTTATTAATCATGATTTTTATTAAGTTATGATAAAACATCGATAATTCTCGGTTTCGTTTTTGTCTGGGACGCACTGTATAGGGTTAAGCCGCCCGCACCATCGCTGGGATGTAACTATGATGGCTTGTGTTTCACAACGGCTTGCCACGCCTTCCTATCTTCTGTCAGCCTAGTAGCTTTAGTCAGGGAATCAAGGTGTCTGACATGTTGCAGTTTGCCTTGATATACAGTCCGTCCATTCCTTAATTATCTGGTCTTTCCCTTGGGCGTTTGTACATTTCCGTTCAGAAGGATGTGGGGTATCTTTTTTGATTCATTCTCTTATTATGTCCAAAGTATCTCAATCTTTTTGTGGCAACCCTGTCGATGATGGTTTCTTCCATGTTCAGTTGTGTTGGTATGGGTGTGTTTCTCATCCTGTCAAGTC